GATCAGAGGCCCGCCCTGAGCATGCCCTCCTAGCTTGAGAGCCAGTCTCGGGTTCCTAGCTCCCTCCCTCTTCCTGAAAGGAAGTGGCTTCACTGTCCTCAAGGCCAGAAGCCTCCTTGTCTGAGGACCAGCCAGCAAGCCTGACGGATTGGGGTGCAGGAAGCCAGGGGCCGCCCTCCCAGGAGGGCCCCGAGGGAAGCGGACTCAAGCAGGGCAGGAGCGAGGGGGCCAGGCCTGGGCTCGGCTGCCTTCCCACCTTGTCCCCATTAGATGGAACGTGAAGCCGGTGGTCAGGCGTTTACACCTTCACCTTGGGGCACACGTAACCTTGCAGATGGAAAGGGGGCGTTCGTGGGGCTCATCGGCCAGCGCCCTAGCCGTGGCAATGTGCGCTCTGGCCTCTGCTGCGCTCTGTGGTGTGGGGACTTGGAAAAAGTCGCCCCCCGCCCCCCACCTTTCTGGGGGAAAGGCGGTTTGAAAGTTCCTGAATTAGCCACGAGCGCCCTCTGGTGTCTACAGTGGGCCACTGCTGCAGGGGGACGGGGCTGTGGCGGGGAGGCCGCATCCCTCCCTCCCTCTCCAGTGTCCCCCAGCCAGATCTGCGTGCAGGCAGCCTGCCCACCCCCCCGCCCCCGCATTATCCGCTCTTTCTCCCCTTGCAGCACCTACGTCCCTGTCCCCGCGAAGATCAAAGTGAAAAAGAATAAGGTGAGTCGAACTCGGCCCCTTCTCCTCTGAGCTCAGGCTCGTTTGGAAGGAGCTGTACGAGGCTGGAGAGCACCACCTCCCCCCTCTGCTGGCGCCTGGCTGCAGAGAGCCCTTGGGCCCCCCGTGCCCGCGGAGGCCATAGCCCCCACTCAGCTTCCCTGCTCCACAAACACCGGCAAAGTGTCCCCGAGTGGGGGTCCCGGACCAGCAGCGTCACTGGGGTCCTGTCACAGATGCAGAGACTCAGATCCACCCCAGACCTGCTGAATCAGACACTCTAAGAGGAGGGGAGGGGGCAGCGATCCGGGCTTTTACCAGCCCTCCAGGGATGCTGATGCCGGCTGCTCTTTGAGACCCAGCGCTGTGTGGCGTGAGCTTCTCAAAGCCAGACCTCCCCTCCTGCCTCCATAGCTCCATCGTCCCCAGGGGGCCCCTGGTAGGGGGGTTGGCCAAGACGTGGGCAAAGGGCGGAAGGATGGAAGAAGTGAAGTGTCCACCCCACTGGTCCTTTGCATATGCTGTCCTCTTCAGATGGTGAGGTCAAGATCAGAGAGGTCGAGTAACTTGCTCAGGAACACACAGCCAGTTTGTGGTATGGCTGGACCCGGGCCTCCAGCCCCTGCCATTTGCACGGGTGCACCCAGGGAACGGGGGGAGCCCTATGTGGGCCCAGTGGGTACATGGGAAAGCCTCCCAGAGATGGCAGTCCCTTGAGGCCTGGCTGAGTGATGACCGGAGACCTGCATGGTCCTCTGTTCCAGTCCATTCCTGGGGGTTGGCCTTCGGCTTCCTGGACATGCATTCCCTCTACCGCCTGAGACGTCCCCTTCGCTGTCCTCGAAGCAGCCGTGGGGGTGGAGTCAAGGGCAGGTCTGATTCCAGGCACCTCCCAGCTTGGCCACCCTGGCTGTGTGACACCGGGCACAACACCTAGGCTCTCTGAGCGCGGTTTCCTCATCTATAACACGAGGAGAGGGAAAGCTAGCGCGTGGGGTCATGTCGTGGCACAGAGATCATTCGACGGGTGGGCGGCTCAGCCCCTGCGTTTTCCTGCCCCGTGACAGAGGCGTCCCTGACCCCGCCGCATGCTGTTCCCTGGAACCTCCCTGGCCTGATGTGAATGTTACCGGAAGCCCTTTTCTCAGCCAGCCTTCTCCCCACCCCCACCCCCGTACTTTATTGCCTTTCTGCTTCATTTCCCTCCACGGCTCCATAGTTGTGTTCTATCTAGCACTCTCTGCCTCCGTGGTTAGGCCACCGCCGGTCCTTCCCACTAGGAGGGAAGGCCCACGAGGGCAGGGCTGCTGGCTCTGTTCGCTGCTCTGTCCCCCACGGCCACGGCCGTGTGGGGCACCCAGCAGGTGCTCACGAGGGGCCCTGTCCTCTCCCCGCAGATCCTGATCTATCATCCGGCCTTCATCAAATACGTCTTTGACAACTGGCTGCAGGGCCACGGGCGATACCCATCCACCGGCATTCTGTCCGTCATCTTCTCGCTGCACATCTGCGATGAGGTACACCCGCCCCCCGTGCCTGCCAGGCCGCCCCGCCCCGGGGGGAGCCCCTCATTCCGCGTTTCTCTGAGCGTCCGGGAGTGCGTCTGCAGTCAGGCTGACCCCCGGCCTCACCCGGGCCCCGACGTAGCTCTTCTCCCAGAAGCTCCGGTTCCTTATCTCTACGCTCTGGGCATTCCCGAGAACGTTGCCAGGGGCAAGGGTTCTGGCTCACTCTGTGCAGGCTCCAGAGGCCGAGTCGCAGCTGGCGTGTGGAGGCTCGGATCTGGGGGCAGAATAATGGAGCAGGTCGTAACGGGGGAGAGCTGGGGTCTCGATCCCGGCTGCTCTTAGAATCGTCCCCAAGAGCTAAATCCCAGCACCCGGACCACGCCCAGGCCCGTGTTCGCCAGAATTTCTGAAGGTGCAAACCAGGCACCCAGGGCTTCCACTCTTCACCGACACTGAGAACCAGTGATCTTGCCAAGTGCGTGTTGTGTTTCCCTTCGTGGGTCTGCCTGACCGTCCGCCAAGCCATGTTGGTTTGGGGTGCTCACTGCCACCCTGGGCAGAGGAGCAGGGGGGCCACAACACCTACACCCTTCTTCCTCCCTGGCCCTGTGTCAGGCGGGGCAATCAGATGTCACGTGCAGCCATCCCCGCCCCTGCCCCACCTGGATCCTGGGGGACATCCACGGAGGGGGGAGAGGTTGTTCTGTCACCACCCTCCCCGTGAACCCGCCCCGTCACCAGAAGCCTGGGCTGTCTCTCCCAGAAGCCACCTCTCGTCCTCACCTCCACCCGGCTACGCCCTTCTCTCCCCTCCTGCCCCGGGGCCGCTGTGGCCCTGCTGGCCTTCACAAGAAAGCTGTGCTGGCCAGCTGGCCACCGAGGTGTCTCCTGCCCCCGGTGGGGCCCCACCCCCCAAATCTGCCCTCCCCGCTGCCGCAGCCCGGACAGCATTTCCTCTCCCTGGGGGGCATGTTCCTTCCTGGACATCTTCAACGCCTCCCCCGAGACCCAATTCAAGTGTCACCTGCTATCTCAGATCCCTTGCGTCCTTGGCCCTGCTGTCCTCTGTGCTGCGGGAGCCCTGATGTTAGCCCCCGTCCTCACTGGTGCTTGTGGTAAGTCACAGGCTCCAAGGTCTGAGACCTGACTCCTGAGTCCCTGATTTCCCCAGCACCCACCCAGGTGGCCCCGGTGATGAACTCTGACGTATTTATCGCAGTGCTTGGCACAGAGCAAGTGCTCAGTAAATGCTGGTCACGTGTGGGAAAGGCCCCCCTGGCCACTGGCCAGTGAGGGCTCCCGAACCGCATGGATATTAGCCTCAGGGAAGAAAGAGTTCAGCACCTGCCACCTGCCTCAACGCGGTCATTCTTCTTGGCCCGTTTTCCGGATGAGGGACGCGAGGCTCAGAATAGCGGTTTGGCGCTCGCTGGCTCCACCAGGCAGAGCTGGGAGCCCTGCAGGCAACTCCACTCCCCCTCCCCAGTCCCAGGAGCCTCCCTCTGAGAAGAGGCTGTCCTGCCCCCGCACCCTCGGGGCCACCCACGCGCTGGCCTCCCGTCGTGCCTTCTGGCGTTACACTTGACTTTTATGGAACTTGCTTTTGCTTCCCTGAGCCCCTGGGAGTTCCAGTAAGGAACCGGACGGGTTCTACGGAGAAGGGTTTCTAGGAGTCTTGGGAAGCATTGCTTACAGACTCGGGAGATGCCTGCAGGCTCCCCTTCTTAGAGGTTTTACCTGTGGCCCTGCCATCTGGTTCTGACCTTTGCTTTGCCCCCGCAGGTAGACTTGTACGGCTTCGGGGCAGACAGCAAGGGGAATTGGCATCACTACTGGGAGAACAACCCATCGGCGGGGGCTTTTCGCAAGACCGGGGTGCACGATGGAGACTTTGAGTCCAACGTGACGGCCACCTTGGCGTCCATCAATAAAATCCGGATATTCAAGGGGAGATGACGCTGCAAAGGAGAACTGAGGCACGCCTCTCTGTGTCCAGCCCCAGCCTCTCGCTGGGGCCGTTCTGTCCTGGGAGCTTTGAGGGCCAGCCTCGGGGGTGGGGGCGTTCAGGTGCCCCTCGCGGCCTCCCGCGAGCCAACATTTGGCAGCGTCTGCTCAGCAAGGTCCCCGAGCCCCGCCGGGTCTGCGAAGGAAGTCTCAGAACTGGTCTTAGATGGAGAGGGCCCCTCACTGCTGTCCCGGAGCTGGAGGGAGGTGGGGAGATTCGGGGGAGGGTCCAGTCTCCAAACACCGAGGTCCCTTTGGCTTCTGGGGAGGGGGCAGATACTTGGGACTCTGTGTTCTAAAGGAAAGGACAGTTTTCCGGGACGGATGGGCGGAGACTTTTCCTCTGCCCGGGGACCCAGGGAAGACCTCAGGACAGAGCCGTGTTGGACCATGTGGACACTGGGGGCAAGATGGCGCCTTTCTTTGCACGATGCCCGGCCCCTCCCTCACTTGGCTCGACAACCCCCCGCCCCCCGCCGCCCCGCTGTCGTCCCAAAGCTCATTTAGGGTGGCCGGAGAGGCTCCCCGCCCCGAAGGTCTTCACAGACTCGTGGCAGAGCGTTTCAGGCCCCGGCAGATGTCTTCTTCCCCAGCCGATGTCCCTGGAGCGATGGATCTTTGTGGCTGTAACCGTGGCTGAGAGCAGATCTGACCACTTCCGCGTGCCTTTGTGTCTGGGGAGAAACACGCGCATTGGCCAAAACAAGGCAAAAGCCTTGACTCGGTAGAGGGGACCCCCAGCAATGCCTCCCCCTTGCCCCGTAGCTCGGGGGCATCTTTTCTAGTTTCCTGAGGCAGCGCCTGAGTTGGAGCAGAGCTAGGATGACGGGCAGTGCTGTCCAGAGGCGCATCAGCCGGGGAACATCATTCTTGCTTACGTTCACAGACCGTTGGATGTGGCGCCCATGACCTTCCAAGGCCACGCGTATAACCTCCACCAGCCGGCACTTTCCCCAGGAAACCCACGCTCTGGGCCACGTCCCTGCTGGCCACCTGCACGGTGTCCTGAGGGCTGCAGGGCCATCCCACGAACATGAGTTTCAGAGCGGGAGAAGACATACCTCATTCTCTCCCTCCCGGGCTGCTCTGATCTTTCCTCTTCAGCCTTCCTGATTATTTATTGATTTATTCTTTTAACTCCGCTGACGTCATGTGCACTTTGTGGCTCTGTGGCTGGTCCTGACGGCTTAATTGAGCTTGTTCTTGCTTCGCCTGGCAGCCGGGGAGTGGGGGAGCTTGAATCTAGGTTTTTGGGGAGCTTCAGACTCGGGGTGGGGGGCGTCTAGGGCTTGGGGGCTTGCCGGTGGGCCGATCCCAGGGTTTCAGGTTGGCAGCTTTGCGGGGTGCTCCGTACCGCCTTCCCTTCGGCCCCACCTTCCTTCCTCGTCATTGTGGTTTGGATTCAGTCTCGGGCTAAGAATCTCCAAAACAGAGCGGGACTCCCTTGGGGCCGGGTGGGGAGTGGTGTCACACGTATAGGAGGACAGTGATTGTTGGCTCTAGTTACTGACCCTTAATCAGAAAAACCGTTTTTCCTGTTGAGAGCATTTGCTAACAAGCCATGCCACCTTGAGGAGGCGTGACAGCTTCCTGGGGGAGCGTGAGGCATGCCAGTCTCGGAAGCCATGGGGCCTGTCTCCTGCACTCTCGCGGCTCTCTGGCAAGCCCCGTTCTCCCGGCTGCAGCCTCTCCCTCTACAAACAAGGAGGGAGGCATGTTGTCAGCTGCGGGGCCACAGGTGGTGTTGGGCAGTTCCCAGGGGTCCCCAGAAATGGCATGCTGCGTTTGTCTCCCCCCCCAAGCCTGTGCATATGAGCATCGTCACTGGGAGAGATTCCTTAGCCTTTATTAGATTCTCAGAGATTCAGAATCCAGAATGTGATGTATAAAAAAAAAACAACAACACACAAACGACGTGTGCCCGTTTTAAAGTCCTGCAAAGCATGAGACTCTCGTGACCGGTGAAGGCTCATCGGTCACTGTGAGGTCGTCATCGTGATCATCCACCCTCAGAGACTAGAGCAGGCGTCTGTCGATTGGCTGATTGAGCCCAGGGACAGCCCTTGAGAACCGTGGCCACGGAGACAGGGAGCAGGGTGGACTCCCGAGCTCTTCCTGGGTCCATACAGGGGTGACAGGTTCAGGGCGCGCAGTCGGCTCCTGGGCGTTGCTGAGTCAGAACAGGTCCCCGTGGGGAGGAGGCGCAGGCTGTCCGGCCCGGCTGCCCGGTCCTGGCCGTCTCGCCCTCCCGCTAGGCCCGTTCAAGCCCGCCTGCCTTCCCACTTAACAGATCAGAAGAGCAGGAGCCAGGGAAGGGAAGCGACTTGCAAAAGTGAACCAACAACCGTGACGCCCCGAGTCAACCATTTTGAGCAAAACCAGGAAATCGTCGGCTCCCTGTTCGAAAACATCCTGAGGTGGGCTTTCCCAGCTGGGTTCCATCCAGCATCTCAGAGAACTGTGATGGGGGGTGGGCCTCTGCCTTCTCCCCCAGGCTCGTCCCCAGGCTGCCCGTGGTGGCCCTGGCAAGCCCTGGTGTCTGCCTTTTGCCGCTTGCTCCTCCCAGTGTCCCAGCCCACGTTTGTGTTCATTGGCTTGGCGAAGGGGTCTAAACCCGACACGCTCCAATCATTGGGACTGGGATCGACTGCGCTGATTGGCTTAAGCCAGTTAGCGTCTCTACCCGGGGTAAGGATGGCTGAGAATTGGGCAAGACTGTTTCCCACAGAGCATTGAGCGTGCTGGGGGCGGGATAACGAGAAACCCCCAGCCAGAGGAGGCTGTCGAGTGTCCACCCCGCTCGCTGTTGGACTCCCAGCCCAGGGCTCTGCCAGGTCCCCAGGCACAGGGCTCCTGGGAGGCCAGCCCCGGGCCCCAGGCATGGAGCAGAGGTGTCCCCGCCCGCAGTCATCAGTGCTGAGCCTAAAGCCAGAAAGATGGGGGCTGAGGAGGAAGAGAGATCTCGGCGCTCTCTCCAACCCCCAGTGAGCCAGGAGCCACCTCCTGCAAAAGCAGCACCTGCTTCCACAGGCCCCCCTGGAGCCCCTGCCCTTACCCCCTCCCCCCCGTCAGGGCACAAAGCAGGGCAGGTTTGTAGCGTCTGGCCCCCAGAGCCATCGAGCAGAAAAGAAAGTTCTTGAACCCATGCCTTTTGAGACTCTGGCTTCAGCGGGTGTTGTCGGGCAAAGCCCACGGGCTGTGCTCAGTGGGAGAAGCCAGATACAAGAAAACAGGACTTAAAATAGGGAAGCCAGACAAGAAGGTGGGGAGGGCGATTCTTGTAAGTGCTGGGGGCAAGAAGGGCGGGGCCTCTGGGTCAAGGGCGGAGTGGAGTCCCAGAGGGTATTTCGAGCCGTGACCTCTGCTTTAAGTGTTCTCGTCAAGGCAGACCCGAACGCAAAAACGGGAAACGGAAAAGAGCTCACCGTCCCCCACGTGGGGAGCACCAGAAATGCTTCCTCCAGGGAAGGACAAGCCCCGAGTGGCCGCTGTCCAGCGACAGATGGCCGGCCGCTGGCCACGTGCCATCGGGAGCCAGCAGCTGCCCCTCTGCCACCCCCCCGCCGCCCCCCAGAGCTCGGGGTTATCACCGTGTCCATCACGGACATCTGGTTGGAGGCAGACATGCCCACAGGCCATGTGGTCTGGGAGAAGGAGTCAGCTTTCCGCTTTCTCGTCCTGAAGAACCTCCGCCTCTGGGGCACAGAGAGGAGAAGGTGCTGTGGCAGGAGGGGCGGAGACCCCCCCCCCAAAGTGGCGTTCACAGCTGGCATCCGGGCATTAGCAGCTTCCTTGCTCATTAGACGAGTGGCAATGTGCTTCCCACAAGCGTCCAGCCCACCCCCCCCCCCACTTTCCCTCTCAGCCCGTCAGAGACCTGCACTGGTGTTGAACTTGACCCCCTGGCTCAGCAGCCCTCATTGGGCAGAACTCCCATTTGTGTCCACCTGCGGATGGCCGTGACCCCGACGCCAGCTCTAACCTGCCACCTCGCCCCCTGCCCCCACCCCGGAGGCGAGCGCCCTCCCCAGCCGCGTCAGCACGTCGCTGAACTCACGTCCAAGCCAAAGTTTCCCGAGCGCTTTCCGCTCCTTGCGGTCTCGTTTGGTTCCTCGTCGTCGTTGTCAAATTTGCTTTCTTTTCCCTCTCGCCTCGTGTTTGTTTTGTAGCCAAGCGCTAATCTGGATGCATTTGGAATGAAGTTAGCCAGAGTCCGCCTTCCTCAGCCTTTGCTCTGTTTTATTTATTGTTGGACATTTCCAATGATCCAAATCAAAGTGAATTAAAAAAAAAGCTATTTTATCGTTTGGGTGTGTTTGTGGTGTTTCTGGGCGGGGGCGGGGCATGCCTTCATGTTGCCCCCCGCCCCACAGCTTCCGGTCAGGGGTTCTGCTCCGGCCTAAAAACGCCCCAGTGGCTCCCCGGCTGAGGGTCTCCTGGTTCTGCGTCTGTCCCTACCAAGTGCCCAGAGGTTCGGGAAGCAGAGCGTTAGCCTCTCAAATGCCACCGTGACTCTCACTGCTGTGTGACTATGGCGAACCACCTCACCTCTCTTACCCTCTGCTGCCCCATCTGCCAAATGGACTTGACCATGCCAGCCGTCAGAAGGGGTGTGAGGTCAAGAATAAAAATCACTCAGGAGGCCCACCCAAGGAGATTTGAGTCGGCCGCTTCAGACAGTCGCTGAATGAGATAGCCTTGGCCGGGGCCCAGGGTGGGCGAGGTAGGGTTCATCTCCTCCCAATAAACAGGTACATCCGTGGATGAATCCCAAGTTTGATCCAAAGTCGGCACAAGTCTCTGACTTTGTAAATAGTCCAGAAATCCAGTCTTGGGGTTCTATACTGTAAAATTAGTGTAAATGGTGATAGTCCCCAATTCGTGTCGGCTCTCACAACGGCCTGCTGGGCGTGAACTTGACTTCTCAAAGCGGTCCTGTGGAGCTGGTGCGTGGTTCCCGGGTTTC